CATGGTCTCTTCCCTTGATTTTTTCTAAGTTACTTTCGCTAAAATTAAATCAAATTACGAACTTAGATAATTTTTATTTTTATTTATTTGTTATAATAATATTTTTCTTTACCAATTGCATAGTAAGTTTTATTTTAATTGATTACTTATTTTTACTGAATTAAATTTATAAATTTATTGAAGTTACATTGTTTTAACTAACTTTTAATTATTTTACTATAAATTTTGAATTTAGTGAAAAAAGGGCCTTACAAAGTTACAATGCAAACTCCTCCACTAGTCTAATAAAGCCATTTGAATTGAACAAAACTTTAGCAGAAAACTAAATAAATTTATTTCACCTCGAAACACTTATATGATATACAAATTTAACTGCGAGCTTGTCACAAGCAACAACTACTCCGCTTTAAACACAATTACTTAAAAATTTAGAACAAATAGAATAGCAAAATAAATTACATCCAACATTCAACTAAAGCAACAAAACAGGGGAAAAACAGAGAAAACAGAGGATCTTAGTAGTAATTAATACTTCTGCAGTACTGCCTGATCTCTCCTTTGGGTCCTGTCAATGGGGAAATGTTACCCATCTTAACCATGGACTTTGCAAAATGATCGAAGAATAGCTCCATGTTCTCAGCATATTGCTTTACTAGTTGCATCGATTCTTGGTTCTTGGTTAACAAAACTTGGTCAGAGTTCAACAGTCCCTTGTAAGCCAATATGTTCTTGTAGTAAGTGTTATCAAAGTTGAAGGGAGTTGCATAGTCCAAGAAGAATAAATTTTGGTCACCACCAGACTGCGGGCACTGGCTGCGCAACTCGTACGCATATGCTCGGTCTAGTGTGAAGTCAGGCTTTCCATTTCTATTCTGGTTATAGAGCCTTTGCCTGAAGCTAACACACCTTGCATTCCCTATTGTGTGAGCACCTGCACCAATATAATAAAAAGTTTTTACACGTCTTTTATTAATAAAATGAGCATGTATCCATCGACATGAAAGGCTGTGAGACGCGTATGTAGGTGATTGTAACAAACCTGAGAGGGCAACAAGGTCAACGAGGTCGAGGCCTTGGCGTTTAAACTTGGTAAGAATGGTGTTAAATGTGTTGTTAGGAGCCGGAATGTCGTTGTTAGATCCCTGTATACTTGCTCCTCTGGCATCCCTTCTTCCTAGAGGTACTTGCCAATTTGGTCCACCAGCCTGCAGTATTTTTAGCGTTATATAAGTATAATTTAACTATATGTGCAACAGCATCTGCATGCTTAAATATTAGTTTTGTACTAAGTAAATTGATGCTTACAATAACAGTTGAATCTCTGGCAGCTAAAGCAAGGATATCAGCACAAGAGACGGTGTGGGGGCATGCTTGCTCTACCGCGACTTTGATCTCATCAATGACCTCAAACCCTCGAGCTGAGTTCCTGTTAGTGTTGGACCCCTTCTCTGAGATTATGTTTCCATTGCTCTCTAGCAGCAATGAGGCATCACATCCCTACAATTTTTTACAAAATAAATCAACATTGGTTTAGACTTCAAAACGATTAAACTCCTATAAAATGAGCATTATGTTATACTTGCACATTTAACTCAAGCAAATACCTTAACAAAGCAGTCATGAAAGTGGAGCCTAAGCAAGGAAGCAGCCATTCGACGATCCCTGGCAACCGCCTGAGCAACTACAGACTTGACTATCTGTTCCACTTGTGGACACGAGCGGTCATAGAACTGAGGGTAGAGATATCCACCTTGGAATTTGTGAGAGAAGCATAGTGGAGCAAGTGCTAAGACAGCTAGAACAATGAAGTAGCTCATCATGGACTTATCCATGTTTGTTTTGGCTTCTCAGAGAGTATGCTTGTGTTTTCAGTACCAATTAACTTGATAAGTTGAATGATTTTTGTGTTATGGTATGCTTAATAAGATGTGTTTGTAGGGTTTATATAGGATATGTCTATTACGAAGTCAAAGAAAACGATAGACAAAATTGGTGAGGTGGAGTTGGTCAACAATATATTCCTTTTAAGTTTCTAACTGCTCAAATTATCAGCACTCCAAGATGAAAGCTCAAACCAAAGACAGGAAAAAAGCAATATGATATACGTACACACTGTCTCAGCATGTAAATTATACAAGTATTGTACTTAGTTCCTAAATGTTTAAACTATGATTTCTTGAGAAAATTACAAGTTTGGAACATGCTACGGATGTACATTTGGAATTAATTTAAATTAAACTAAGCTTTAAGAAACAGCATAGCGGACGACAACTTGAATCTTGCCCTTAGTTTGTAATTGACCGGACTATCAGTCACTCCTTACACATTTGTAACATTTTGCTTAGAATTATACAAGTACATCATATCATAAGGAAATAAAAATTGGTGTTTAATTTGGAATCATATATGGCCATTAATCACATTACATACTACGTATAACCCTATGATGACCTCGAGTCAGTGAAAGGAGGCATATACATAACAATAGTTGATTTGACGGTTTATAGGCAAAGTGGATGCATTTATCACACCTAAATGACCTCCGGAGGTGTCGTAGGGTCCTTGGGAAGCACCCCAACTTGTTTCCTTCCCAGAACTGAAAAAGTCAAATATTATCCAAAATTAAAGGCTATAATCCACGCTTTTGGACTGTTTTTGGAGGTTTCGGGACCCGATGTTGAAAATTGTCAGGAAGGTAGGGGATACATCTTGAGGATAAAATGTTGTTTGGAACCATATATGACCATTAATCATTCACACAAAGGCCTTTATGGTGACCTTGAATTAATTAAAGGAGACTTGTATGTAAGCAGTTAAAGTGATATTTCTAAGGCAAAATGGATGTTCCAACCACCCAAATGACCTTCTAGGGTGTTGTGGACTTGTGGGGTTCATGAGAAGCACCCTAACTTGTTTCTATCCAGGTCCGAAAAAGTAAAAAAAGAAAAAAAAAAAAAAAATCTTAAAGTGAAGGCTATAATTCACGTTTTTGAACCAATTTCAGAGGTTTCAAGTCCCGAAGTCAAAAGCTCATGAGAGGGTAGGAGATGCGTCCACGGGTTATATAGATTTGTTTGGAACCATATATGACCACTAGTCGGTCACATAAAGGCTCATGTGGCGACTTTGAATTGATTTTAAGGAGGCCAGTACATAAACGGCTAAAGTAACATTATAAAGGCAAAATAGATGGTTCCAAGCTTCCAAACACCCAAATGACTTTTTGAGGTATCGTGGAATCTATGGAAGAGCCCAGGCTTTTTATTTTTCCATGTTTGAATAAAAAATAATTGTTAAAAATAAATGATGTATCCTTAAAGAAATCAGTTTCGGAGGTTTGGAGACTCTAGCAAAATTATAAAATACATTTTGACTAAATTTAAAAAAGAAAAAGTGAACGGAGGAAATACTAGGAGTATTAAACTAGGAAACACATTTTATTGACATAGGTACACAGGAGACACTTAAGGTTGGTTTATTTGTTTGTTTGTTTTTTTTTTTTTTAAATTTTAGTTATACACATGTTTGACACAAGTAAATGTACATAACGGATATGGACACGAGTAGGTAGCCGAAGGAACCGAGTATCTAGTATCTACCATAGCCGTGGGTTAGGACTTAGGAGTTGGTGTTCTTGAAAATTATTTGGAGTTGGCATGTTTGTAGTGGTTTAATTGAGTATTGTACATAAAGCATAATCATAATTTTTGTAATCTGTACAAATATACTCGTATAATATTATGCCAGTCAAAATTAGCATCATAAAAAATGAAAACTGAAAATGTACTCTTCTTCGGAGTTACATCAACATGGATAAATAATCTTTCAAAGTACGAAAGATTCATATACGTAGTATAAACGATGATGACAATATATATAAAAAATAATTGAGAAAAAACATCATGTTACAACTTCAAACTACTCTTTTGACCAATCAATATGAAGATATGTTAAAATAAAGTCAAATTCCTACTAAACTTCATCTTAATGCAAGAACATACGAAGTATATTATTATTATTGTTAGAAGATTCATGGAACAGTGTTACAATTAATAACTTAATAAAGACAATTTTATTAGTTGAGGCTCCCGCGTGGTGTATAATTAACACCTCGAGACCAATTCCCCTACCACCAAAAAACAATAGGAAGGGGACGAGTTTGAGAATTATATTATTGATCAAATTTACTAACTTTTACTTATTCGTCGACAATTATATTTGCAAGACATTTTATATATCGCGTATGGTAACATTCATGGAAGATAATGAGGGAATAAAAGGAAGGAGAAGGAAGGGTTTTTAAGTTAAATTGTAAGGAAAAATCGTTAGGCACTAAAGTACCCATGAAAATTACAAGTCAAACCTAAATTAAACAATAAAAAGTCACCCTAATAATGAAAAAAGAAAGATGTTAATGTCTATATGAAATTAGAATGAAAGATGATGACATGATCTAATTAAAGGTATAAACTTTAAAGTCAAAATATTAGCTTTTTATAAATATTACTAAGTGGTCACAGTTGTATATTGAACATTGCCAAATGTATTAAATCAATATAATGTACTCCGTAAGTAATATGGGATCATAGAGCCATTAGAGGGAGTATATCTCAATGCAAATAATATCTCAGAGCACAAACATTAATTTATAAAATGTTATTTTGCTGTCCCAATATGAAGTTTACTTTCTCTTACAGCAAGTACTTCTTTCATTTGCTCATATAAACTTAGAGTTGTTTTGGAGTGAGTATGTTTCAAGTATTACATTATTTTAGATTTCTATAAAAAAACTTCCTATTTTACTCTGTGTGTGTTTTTTTCTTTGGAAGAAACCATAGTCTAGCATTATTATGTGAAACTGTCATAGAAAAAAAGATATGTACATATATATATATATATATATATATATATATATATATATATATATATAATAAAAATAATAAAAAATAAAATAAAATAAAATAAAATAAATAAAAAAAAGAAGAAGATAAAACATTGTATTGAGTAAAAATAACATACTTGTATATGAAAGATTAAATCATGAGATTAGCAATACTTTATTTCAACTGTAAAAGACTGATATACAATTTATCTCAGAGCTTGCCGCAGGCAGCCACTACTCCGCTTCAAACGCACATACAATGAAATTTGGAAAACAAATAACGTAACAGAATATATTACACCATAATTTTGACAGACAACAAAACAGAGAAGTATAGAGGATCTTAGTATGAATTTATCCTTCTACAGTTCTGCCTGATCTCTCCTTTTGGGCCTAGTAATGGGGTGATGTTACCCATATTTATCATGGACTTGGCAAAATGGTCAAAGAAAAGCTCCATGTTCTCGGCATATTGTTTCACTAGTTGCATTGATTCTTGATTCTTGGTTAACAAAACTTGGTCCGAGTTCAACAGCCCCTTGTTAGCCAATATGTTCTTGTAGTAGCTGTTATCGAACTTGAAGGGGGTTACATAATCTAAGAAGAACAGGTTTTGGTCACCACCAGAACGCGGGCATTGGTTTCGCAATTTAGAAGCATATGCTGGGTCAAGTGTGAAGTCAGGTTGCCCATTTCCATTCTGGTTGTAGAGCCTTTGCCTGAAGCTGACGCATCTTGCAAAACCTATTGTGTGAGCACCTGCACAAACACTTCTTCTTGTCATTCTCAACCCAAAAAACAAAAACACCGCCATTGATGAATCGCAGGGCACTCTGATTCTATTCAATTTAATCTTTATCCAGTTTAAACATGTAGCTAGAGAGAATACACCTTATAATGAAAAACAATGAAAAAATCCTAGCCATTTTTGTGTAAATGTACGTCATCAACCCAGTAAATCTTTTCAATTTTGTTAAAATAAAATGGTGGGCCATAGAGCAGAAATCAGTCAATAGAAATGAACAGGTAGTTGCTAGTACTAGGTTTTCTTCTTGTCAGAGAGAAGGGAATGCCTGACCAAGATAATATTTTTTTTTATTTAATTTTATATTGGTAAGAAGAACAATCCTGCATACTAGATGGAATAGCAAGGTCAATATATATAAAACAAAAAATGGTGATTGAAACAGACCTGAGAGAGCAACAAGGTCAACAAGGTTAAGGCCTTGGCGTTTAAACTTGGTAAGAATGGTGTTAAATGTGTTGTTAGGAGCAGGAATGTCGTTGTTAGATCCCTGTATACTTGCTCCTCTGGAATCCCTTCTTCCTAGGGGAACTTCCCAGCTCGGTCCGCCAGCCTGCAGTGTTATTACATACGTTAGTAATTTTAGTACAATTTTGTCTAGTCTTCTGCCTTCTATGATTCATCATGTATAACTGCATTCTACTTTAGTATTATGTAAATTGATGCTTACAATGACAGTTGAATCCCTAGCAACTATTGTAAGGATATCAGCACAAGAGACTGTATGGGGACATGCTTTCTCTACTGCAGCCTTGATCTCGTCAATGACCTCAAATCCTCGAACAGAGTTCTTATTAGGCTTTGATCCCTTCTCCGAGACTATGCCTTCACCGTCGTCTAGCAGCAATGAGGCATCACATCCCTGCAAAATTATACAAAAAAAAATAAGATAACTTATTATTAGTATAGGTTTGGATTAAAAACTGATATAAAGTTCAATGAGATAAATAATAAGTTATATACTTCGTATTTTTAGCAAATACATACCTTAACGAAGCAATCGTGGAAATGAAGCCTAAGCAAGGAAGCAGCCATTCTGCGATCCCTGGCAACCGCCTGAGCAACAATGGACTTGACTATCTGTTGCAGTTGAGGGCATGAGTGATCATAGAACTGAGGGCAGAGATACCCCATTTGTGGTTCAAAAGAGAAGCATGAAGGGGCAAATGCTAGGAGAACAACAAAAACAAAGTAACCCATGGACTTGACCATGTTTGTTTTAGTGTTTAGAGGTACACCAGTGTTTTCAGCACTAATAATAAGCTGGATTACTGTTATTGCTTAACTGTTGTGGACTTGTGGTATGATAAGATAGGTTTGTTAAGTATTTATAGAAGAAAACTATTGTGAAGTCAAAGAAAAAGATGGAGGATAACAGAAGAGGTGGAGTTGGTCAACAAGATAGAATTCCTACTAAGGTTCTAACTGCTCAAATTATTGGCCCTCCAACTCCCTAAGATGTAAGTGTCAAGCAATAAGTTACTATTGTACCAAGTCATTGCTAGCCCAAAAGATAACAGAAAAAAAGCAATTTTTTTGACTTTGTGCTATTGTGATGGTTTTATCTACTCCTTATTGTTGTACATAATCCCTGCAGCTTGTTTACCAAAGGTTTTCTGATGAATTTTTTATACTTCCTCCGTTAATGGTTAATTGCAACAAAGGAATATTTTATATCTCACAAATAATACCCCTTTGTTGCAATTAACCATTAACGGAGGAAGTAACACAATTTTGTTTATTCTAATTGTACGTCGGTTAACATTCGCATACTGTGTATTTCCAACAATCATAAAATAAACGATAATTAGTTAACAGCTTCTTAGAGCATCTTCAAATGAGTTCAAATAGGGGATCAAGAGTATAAGAAATGAAAATAAGGTTAAATGAAGGCTTCCAATGGATGAGTTACTAAAATGTCTACAAATGAAAACAGTTGTCAGATTATACTCTCTTAAAACTTCATATCACAGTTTGAAGTATAAGTCTTTAAACAAAATAGAATTATAAGTCTCACCATTGTCCTTAGAAGTGGAAAAAATAGTTATGAAAGGTTTTCACATCTATAGTGACCTTAACTTATCTAAGCTTATCAATTTAAAACTTATTTTATCTAAACTTTCTGTTTTTAATTTAACTTGTATAAACTTAATTCTCCCAAATAAGTGAGAATAGGGCATGACCAAAAAAATGGCATTTTTCTCAAAAAAATTATGAAAATATAAAATGGTGTCTATCTTCTTAGTAAAATATGGTAGGTTAGGAGTTGCATCAATATTGATTATTTGGGTTTGCCTTGCTAGACTGGTTAATGCACAAGTAATTTTAGGGTCCTAAAAGTTATTTTAAGCATAAAAAAACCACCTATTGTTGGTTTAGTTAATTGTTACAGTCAATGTTGAAAAGATAAAAATGAGAACTGGAAATAAAATCTTCTTTGGAATTACATCATTCAACATGGAATAGTTCTTCATAGTATGATGTATACGCGATGTAGATTTTAGACAAATAGACATGAAGATTGTACAAAGTTTAACAACAAATTGCTGAATTGACCTGGTGAACTAATAAAAAATAGTGAGAACAACATTATGATGGGAATGTACATGTGAAATACTCCCTCTATTTCATTATAATTGAAACAAATTTTTTTTTTCATCCATTTCTTAATAATTGTATTTTTGTTTTTTTTTTTTTTTCATTATAAAGACCCACTAATATTTTAAAATTGCTCTATTAGCAACTCCACTTACACTACTTATTTTTTTAATTACTCATTATTATTTCCTCTCATACTAACAATTACTATTATTATTAGTTCTAAGGTGTTATGCTGTGAAAAAGTTTATATTTCTTTGAATTGTTTGCAATTGTCGTTTGACTATATTTTATTAATAAAATTATTTTTTTCCATGAAAAAAAAAACAATTACAATAGTATACAAAGTATGAATATATCCTAATTAACTATACTTTATTCCGTATATTATTAAATTTCTTCTTTGGTCCCCAATTCCACACCCTATCATTTTGTGAAACGCTAAACATCGCCCGCAATTTACCATATAAAGCCCACAAATATGATATGGTTTGACCATTATGCCCTTTTTCTAAAATTGAAATAATCTCGGTGTAAAAAATGTGGAGCCGTACTGGCTCGCCGGGGGAGACCGGAGGGCAGGCCGGAGATGCGGGGGACGCCGGAGGTACGTCGTCGTCGACGGAAAACGAGGTAAGTCACCGTTAAAATTCACGGTTTACCGTCGGAGTGGCTCCGGCGCCTAGGGTGGACGCCCAAACCGTAGCCTGGACGTCCAAGCCAGACGCCAGACGCCAGAACACCCAGAGTGGCGTCCAGCCCAGACGCCCAGACCACCAGACTGGCGTCCTGGGCAGACGCCACTCCACTGGGTGAGGCGGCCCTGCCAGGCGCCAGTCCAGTGGCTGTGGCAGCCCTGGCAGACGCCACCCATATAAATTAATTTTTTTTTTCTTTTTTGATTTTGTTGTTGTTTTTTATTTAATTTTTTTCAAAAAAAAAATCGAAAATGATTTTTTAAAAAAATTCAAAATGGGTTTTTTTTAAATTAAATTTGAAAATTCGAAATAGGTTTTTTTAAAATTAAATTTGAAAATTCGAAATGGTATATTTTTAAATTTAGTTTGAAAATTCGAATTGGGTTTTTATAAAAATTAAGTTTGATTATATATAATTATGCTTTTTTTGTGTTAATTCTGTGTAAATATAGAAATTAAATGTATTATCCGTTAAATGTATTTATTGTAATATATAATTGATGCAGGAATATGGTGGAGACGGAAATGATTACAGTGGGATATTTGGACATGATGGTCCATTCGAAGAAGCTCAACAGGCGATTGATTGGGCAAAACAGGTTGCAATTGCGTACAAGGAAAGGATACCTGCGATCATCATGTCGTACTTGGAAGGGTGGAATGATGTAATCGGAGATGGTAACTGCGGATTCCGGGTCGTGGCTGATGTTTTTCAAATGGGCGAAGACAACTACGGTTTGGTGCGTGAGTTGATGTACAGCGAAATTGCCTCTAACCGAAATGTTTATCGTCATGTGTACCAGGATGACTTGGATGGCGCTCTGCGGCGTATCCGGTGGGGAGGTGGACCTTGCGGCGAAAATCATTATTTTGACGCGCCCCTAGATCTGTTTGCCGTTGCAAACATTTACAAATGCGCAGTCATGCATTTCGGCCTGGGAGTGCATAGTCAAGCTTATTATCCTTGTACCACGGTTCTCCCTTGGCGGTCGCGTGAGACTGTCACCACACCGGTCAGAGAGCTAGCTATTGCGTTTCTTGGGTCGTCATACAAACATTTCATCCGACTAGACATGTCAACCGATTTTCCAGTGCCACCGATTATACCTCGGTGGTACAACATTCGCACAGCGAGCGTAGAGGGTTGGGATGCGCTATATAGTGACCGGATCCACGAATGGAACACCCTAGCTGCATTTTAGTTTTTCATGTTTACATTCTTTATTTATAATCTTATTTGTACGTTGCTCTTTTAATGAGAACATTAATATTTTATATTGTATTGCTTACTGCATTCTATATGTTGCATGGGTAAGTTGCGCGGATCCACGAACGGTTATATCAAAATTTAAAAACAGCACTGATAATATGTTTAAGTTGGAAGCTAAAAGAACAATCTAAAATGTTACAATTTTACAACATAATGTTCAACATAATGCTCTATAAATAAAATACAATAACCATCAGTAATCCCTCCTCGACGACGACTCCCACTGCGCAAGGGTGTGTTCCAGACTATCAACAACAGCTCTCCCTGTTGCACTCATGCTGTCCTTCTCAAGAGAGAGTTTCTGTACGTCCTGCATTACCTTTCCCATCCACTGCATACAACAAAAAACAGAAGATGAAATACAATACAACATATAAAACTTAAATAAAAGACAACGATAAATATAATAAAAGACATACCGCTTCCGTGGCAGTAGGCGGTGGCACATAATCATCATCGCTGTGGTCGAGATCTGCGATCAACCTCGGGTGCGAATACCGGTTGAACCATTCCATGTAGTAATGGTCACACATGGGAGTAACCCCAGAGGGCGGCCGCTGCAACTCCGCAGTCCATAAGCGGGCCACCATCGGAAACTGGTCCCACGTCCCGGTCATGATATCCGGCCATTGCACGACGTAGTCCCTCGACGATGCAGGTCGGACCGCCTTCATCGGGCATGCCGGGGGAGGAGGGACAACTTGGACAAATCCAAGCTTGCGAAGACAACGCTGGGGCATGTACGCCTCGACGATCTCACGATACTGAATGAGTCCCGTGTACAGGGTCCTGGGTACCCTAACACTAGGGTTCGGGCCGAAAGGCATCCAGTTCACCTGTACAATAACAACATATAAAATTTAATAACATGAATATAATATGTGCAAATAATAAAATGTAAACTCTATAAATAAACGTTACCTCTAAGGGGGACAGCCTGTCCAGCAATAACCGTATCGATCGGAGGCGGTCAACGGACTTCTTCTCCGAGCGCGGACTCCACGCACAAGCACGCGGCATCCCCTCATCAATAAGAACTGGGTCACGATGTGGTCGCAATGCAGGAAAGTACTCGTATATCCAGGTCTGCAATAGAGTCAGACACCCAGTGATACCTGCCGCGTCAGCCCGACTTGCAAATCCTAGTTGGCGATACAAATACGCCAACGTAGCCGATCCCCAGGAAAACTGGCCTACACTGTCGGGGTCACACGCCTCTACTATGTCGCGTGGCCTGAGCTTGTTTCCGCCGCTCTTATCCAGAAACAAGGTACATCCGAGGAGTAGAAAAACATAAGCACTCAGCTGTGCGTCGGGCGTCCTACGTGCACTGGGGTACAAACACCGCTGCAACACGGATGCGATCTTCACACCTCCGTGTTCCCAAACACCTAGCGCCTCAGTGTACAGTGCAGCCCTGTCCACCGTCAACAACTCCGCCAGCGAATCAGCCTGATCCGCATCAGCCACAGCACAAAGTCGTTTACCCTCAACACGAATCCCCAGAATGGCCTCGACGTCATGTAACATGATCGTCATCTCACCGAACGGAAGGTGGAAAGAGTTTGTATCCGGCTGCCATCGCTCAATGAAAGCCGTGATCAGCGTACTGTCAATCTTATCGTGCATGGTGGCAGGAACGTGATTCACTCCAGTGCCCTCTAGTCGCTCGAACATCTCGCTCTCCGCCGGCCAGGCCTCAGCCCATGTACGCAAAAAGCTACAAGTCTTTTCCCAGGTATGACATTTCAACAACCCCGTAACTGAAGGCCTCTCCTGGTCCTCCCAAATACGGGCAGCTATGTGTCCTAGAAAGCTAGGAATCACACTCCCGTCAACAGGCCCACCGGGCACCTCACTCCTAACAGCCCAAGAATCATTACCGGCCCTCGACCGTTTCCTGCTTGCCCCAGATACAGTGGACGCAGATGATGTGCCAGATCTACTAACAAACCTACCACCCCTACCCTTACGCACCTCCACCATATGCGTCTCGTACATGTCATCAACCCTCTGACTGAATGGACCGTAATCATCATACGGTCCACTACCATCGTCCACATCCTCATCCTCATCTGCGCCCTCCTCCTGCTCCTCCTCCTGGTCACCCTCCTCAGCATCATCATCGTCAACGTCATCCTCATCCCGACGATGGATCCGTTCTCTACGAGCTGAGGCCAAAATACCACGGGATCTGACATGTCTATGCCCCGACCTCTCCACTGAATAACTTCTACTAAGAAGCTCTATATTCTTCCCCGCACCATGACGACCCAGTGAATTCTACACAAAATTTTAAAATATATAAACATACAAAAATTTATACGATAAATAATCATCATCGCAAATCAAATAAACTAAAAACATACAAATAATTGTAAACAAAATATAAACGTAGAAAAAATACAACGAAATTGAAAAAATTTATAAAAATAAACAACAAAATATAAAAACAATTCAAAAATATATTACACAAAAAAAAAAAAAAAATTAAAAACAATTTTTTAAAAAAATATAAAAAAAGGGGGGGGGGCGCCCTGGCTGGACGCCCAGCCAGCGGTGGTGGCGCCAGCTGCAGACGCCGCCACCAGTTGGCTGGCGCCTGGGCTGGACGCCACACCACGGCTGCGGCGCCTTGAATAAACGCCACGACCGTGGCTGTGGCGTCCAGCCCAGGCGCCAGCCAACTGGTGGCAGTGTCTTCATCTGGCGCCACCACCGCTGGCTGGGCGTCCAGCCAGGGCGCCCCACCGCCGTCACGGCGGTTTTTCCCTTTTTTTTTTTAACAAAATGTACCTTTCCTCCTTGGGACATCCTTCCCTCCGCCGCCGCCGCCAATTCCTTGCCTTGCCGCCTCGACATTGTCGTTATTTGAAATTTTTTTTTTAGAGAGGTTGAAAGAAGATGAGCAATGAGAGTGTGAGTGTTTTTTTTTAAGGTTAAGGGCAATTTTGGCAAACCAAGTGAATTTTGTGGGCTTTATGTAGTAATTTGTGGGCGATGTTTAACAAATCCCATCATTTTCCTGAAATTTTGTATCCTGACTACCATGTACCATTGCAATTTATTAAACGGACGGAGTAAAAGTAAATATCTAAGGCCCATAATCTATTACTCCATCAATAACCAACAATTAAGATAGGTAAAAGCAGGTATGGTAAATGTCTCCATAATAATTAACTTTATCTTTATAAAGCAAAGTGATGCAAGGCAATGGTGAAGTTTGAAGGGAGTAGTTAGTTACTTAGATTTAATGCCAAAAGCCAATTCATTAGTAGGAGACTTGTAGACTGAGCTGGCCACCGGCCACCGCCCCGTGTGGTGTACATTCAACGGTGTTAACACCTCTAGACCCCATTTCCCCTTACAAAGAAAATATTTAAAACAAAAAAAAAATAAAAAATTATCACAAGCAAAAGAATTGGTCAAACTCATTTATCGTTCGAAATTTTAAGCGTTTCTTGTAGCATGATTGATGCTATATTTAATTGTGTTAACTACTCGTGTTGCTGTACAATTGAAATGAAAGGAATAGATAGTCTGCTGATTAATTGGACATAAAGTGAAACATGATATGAAATGATTTGAACTGCTTTATTATATGCAACAAGTACATGATCATTTACGTGTCTAAAAATCACGACAAATTATACTATGCTCATAACTTAATAAATAATACGATATCATGATCAAAGTTTGTATGTTTTGACCGGTAAGATAAACTATGCCTATTATTTTAGAGCAATTTAGTATGTACCTTAAAAAGTTTACAACAATGATGCTTCGCGATAGGAAAAAAAAAATTATTTGCATGTGATAAACAGATGATGATTGAACATTTTTCAACGCTTGATCGATTGAAAAGGTTTGTCGATATATAATTTCACAATTAATAATTACAGACGGAAAGTAGATGGAATATTAGGTTAATCTTTTTTTTTTTCCCAATAATTGATTAAAGGGCAAAACACAATCAAGGTCAGCAGACTGCAGACCTGCTCCTAGATAACATTCAGCAGCTCATAGATAAGGTCTAATAAAATGAGGCACCTTTGTTTATCAACGAATGCCAAATTATATGCATCAATGATCAATGAAGAAGGTATATAAACAAACAAATAAAACAAGAGCAGATAGCAGAATTACAAGTAAAATAAGGCTTCACATCTATAGTCACCAGTGTTAACTTCCATCTTGAAACTCATTCATATTGTCTGATAACCTAGGGCTTAAATTTTTGGATGCGAGAACTTCATCCGAAAATAGGACATTATAAGCAAATCTTCAGGATACATCAATAAATTCTAGATTATTTGCCAGTCTCCCTTTCGGTTTGAATCCTATCTTTACCATGTCTTAAGCTTTGTTTTTCATCTTAATCAAAAACAAGTCTTCGAAAAGAACTTGAAGGGAAGAGAGAAAAGTACATCACCAAAAAAATATAAACAAATCAAGTAATTTCATGTGGTTTGTTCCTATAACTATATGAAGAAGTTGTTAGAAGTCAGTAGCCCAGTGATAAACACTACATGTGACTAAATAGATGCTGTTTACTGTAATTCACTCTATGAACCAAGGATCGTAAAACATAGCACCCTTAACCATAAAGTAAGCTAAACAGATCAAAGAAAACTTTTGCCAACGCAGTAGAAAGTCAATTTTCAGCATTTAAGCAGCAGTTGCATGCAGTAATCGTCGTTATCAATGGCTCGTGACTGAAATTCAAATGTGCTAAGCTGACACTGAAACCTGCAAGGTAATTGTCCTTTAAAATTCTTTTTCTTTTCCTTTTTTTAAACCCAAAGGAGTTTTTTCTGGGGGGGGGGGGGGTGGGGGGTGGGGGGTGAGAGAAGAAGGTTGTCTGTGTAGCTCGTACCTCAACAAAACAGATCCTTGTCGTCATGTTTGCTTTGGACTCGAGAGTATGTACATTTAAATGGAACCATATCTGACCTCAGTCCTTCCAGTTCCTTGAGCAGCAGGGATGAAGGGATTGTTACTCTCTTCTGCTCTTTGGTAACCCTGACCTCCTCCAGACACCTATCATCACAAATAAACAAATAGAAATCACATTGACAAAAATATGTCTCAGTCAACGTCTATAATAGAAAAATAGAAATCAATATTATTATGTACTGTATATGCAAAGCAGACATAACTCTGGCATAAGGATCATTGGCATGTCCAATTTTGCAATCAAATAGCCATTTTGAATTAATTTCTCATCATGCTACAATAAGATAGACAACAGTGCGGCACTAAACACCTTAAACCAAGCAAATTTCATAAAACTTGAAAGACAAAGCCAACTCTGATCCTAGGACATACACCTATACTTGACACTGCAACAGGTGACCACACTGCTCACGGTACCCACCTAAATTCAGGAAGTAATGGTGGGCCAGCATCCATAACATCTTAGTCCCACCCATCCTCTGTCTACTATAATTAAAGAAAGAAATAGGTAGTATGGATGCTCAGAACTTACAGTTTGTAAGAATGCAGATAAATAGGTCATCCCTGGTAATGCATCAAGCCCATGCTGCAAGAATTATTCATAATTAGGATGGTGCAGACTTAACGCAATATGAGAGGTTGAATACTCAAAGTTCGGCTTACAGGACACACCACACAAGATCATACCTGGTTTTGTGCCCGTAATTTATAAATAAATCCACCACAGCAGAACAGGGTAAGTGAAACAAAGAATCTGCTCAAGAAAGCCCAGAAGGAACAAATGTCAAATAGAGAGGAAAACGTGGAAAAACCAAAAAGGAGGTATAAATTTATGCATGTGACAGGATAGAAACCTCAAAATCTTGCACAATATTTTCTAAATCCTTGGATAATATGTCCTGGAATTTTAATTAGCTCAGGCCGCATAATTTTCAACGGATAGGAGAAAAACACTTTTGCACATGACGTAATGCTTGTACATTATAATATCATGCTAACATGATTAAACATTGCACAGAGCTGATAATGCATATGCTATGTGATTTCTGATATATCTTCTATTAAGATGAGGAAGGGATGCTGACCTAGCAGTCAATCATAACACAAATTTGCTAAGTACTTACAGTATCTTAACTTCTTAAGACAATAACCATCAAAATGAAAAAGCTTGCTAAAATAGAAACATAAATTGCATATTTGCATACATGCATGATAAGATTCCAAATATAGCCCATCCTTTCGTTGTCGCTTTCCCATCATCTTGTTTGTGATCTGCGAAATTTCAAATTTGAACTAAGTTTTTCATGTCAAAGGAACTATAGATTGTTCCTTCAATTTTAGTAACACAATTGAACAGATAATCTTACCGCACATTTTTGTAAGTGTGAACTTGACTGGATCATAATTCTCCACAGGAATAGTGATTTCCACTTCGTAAGGAGTAGTGTGTACCTTTTTACCTGTAGTAATTTAAAAATTAAGACACTACTTTCCCTCAAATCCTCAATACATACAATGTATAAACTGCAGCCATACATGTCCAATCTACAGTCAAAACAGTTGGTGACAAAGTTGTTGGGGGAGTTCCAGAAGCACCAGAGCCAGATAGATGAACTTCTAGGCCATTCTGCGGGAGTACCTGATGATATGAGAGAATACACTACATCAGCAATCAATATTCTTGAATTTGTTTCTTTGACCATTGGGGAAGCTCTTGTTGATTGGTAGCAGTGTCGCACAAGTATCAGCATAACAAGGGGGACAAAATCACCTTCACAGTTGGTTTTTGCACCAAATTTGAGAGGGATGCAACTGCAGTCATATGAAGGGTAACACGAGTCTGTTCAGTACTAAAGCTGCAAGACAGACAAATCCACAGTATCAGTCTCGTGCAGTAGTGGAAAGAGAGCCTCAGGCAACCCAAAATCATTAATCTGGGAAGAGCCTAAAGCATTACAACTAAAATATGCATCATATTTCTCATCAGAGATCTTACTGAAATTCATTGTGAGACTTCTCAAAACCAGGTTGGGTCATGCCATTGTAGACCTGACATTCCAGAGTATTCATCAATCAGATCAGTAAATCAGTTATGGGAAAGGGTATTTGAATTTGCAAAAATATAACAAGTTTCTTACAATTTCCCATGACCGTGGATGAAACCCAATAGTGAATCCTTCAAAAACCCGTGGACCACGTTTCTCACAAGGAATAGCAAGTTCCACAATAACTCTTGCAAATTGCAACCAATAAACATATAATCAGAAAAGTTCATCTCTCCAGCAAAAGTCAGAATAGAATTAGCAAGCTATCACAATAACATAAACCACAATCAGGTGTCTCAACCATCAATTTTATTCCTCTATGACTCTAGAAATGGTAACCAATTTCTAGCATTAGGTATGAAAGCGCATTAAGCATAGATTGGATTTTAAGATATGGTACCAACAATGAAAGAAATGCAGAGTAAAGTAGTTGAATAACTTCTTGAGTTGACGAGAATATGATTGGTGGACAACCAGAAAACAAATAAAGAAATTTATTATACTTACTGCAAGAATTTGACAATTTATTAAGAATGTCAGAACAAACTGATAAAAGGAATAAAAATTGAGAATATATCAGAGAAAATCAATATAGTATCCACTATCCAGTCCCCCCCCCCCCCCATCTTCCAATTAATTTTCAATTGATTAACATGAATGTGAGATACAATACAGCTGATGTATTTTCAAATTATCAGCAGTTCAGCACTCCAAGTCTTCAAGATGAAAGCTTAAATGGAAGACAAAACAGAGAAAAAAAAAAAGAAGAAGCAATATGATATACGTAGACAACTACACACTGTCTCAGCATGTAGATTATACAAGTATTGAAGAATTGTATATTTGTACTTAATTCCTATAGTTTGTTTACACTATCGTTTTTTGAGAAAGTTATAATTTTTATTCAGCAATTGTCATTCAAATTTAACTAAGTTCTAAGAAACAGAATTGCGGACGACAATTTGAATCAACCTTGCCTTTAGTTTGTAATTGACCGGACTATCAATCACTCCTTTAGTCCTTACACATTTGTAACATTTTCCTTGGAATTTTACTAAGTATATCATATCACAAGGAATTATATTGTTGTTTGTAATCACATATGGCCATAAATCACATATACTACCTCCGCTTCGGGTTACTCGCAACAAAGGACAACTTTGCGGAGGCCGAGGAAAAAGATCTTAAGTGTAGTTATTGAAAAATAAGGGCATTTACTTAACTATTAATCCAACCCCAAAAAAAAAAGAAAAAAACAAATTTAACAATAATTAAAATAATTAACCCACCACCAATGCTGCCACCACCCGCCACCAGCACTGCCACCACCCCCCCACCACCACCAAGTCACCAACAGCACCGAAACCACTCACGACCACCACCACCACCGACACCACTAACACCACCACCACCAACCCAGTAAACCCACGACCACTACCACCGAAACAACTAACACCAGCCACCACCACCGAAACCACTAACACCACCGCCACCACCAACCCAGCGAACCCATGAAAACCACAACCACGACCACCACCACTAACCCACGAAAACCACGACCACCAACATTACCACCAATCCCACGAAAACCCACAAATCTGGAAATTAAAACCCACAAACCACAAAAACCCTTGAACCCACCACCAACACCAACCCAGAGAAACCACTCACGACCACCACCAACCCACAAAACCACATACCCTTGAACCCACAAAACCACGAACCCTTGAACCCACCAACCCATTGAAACCATTCACGACCACCACAAGCAGCCAACGAAACCACCGATCTCGCGAAACCACCAAGCCATCGCACCCACGCACTAACCCAAGGAACCCACGAAACCCTCTGGAAAAACCTTGAAAATTGAGTTGGAGGAGGAGAGAAAAATAATGGGAATGAGGAAGAAGATGAAGGAAGAGAGTGAAAAATAATGGGGATGAGGAAGAAGATGAAGGTGGTTAAAGGAAGAAAATCTTACTTTAGATGGAAGAGGATTGATTTTAGTGGAGATAGTTAAGTTAATTAATGTTATTTTAAGTTAATAAGATAAAATCAGTTTTTTTAAATAGGGTGTTTAAAACAAAAGTAAGGGTAATTTTGTAAAATTATACAAAAAATCTTACTAAAAAAGGAAAGAAAATAAGTTGTTGCGAGTAATGTGAAGTGACCGTTTTAGGAAACTGTTGCGAGTAATCTGAAGCGGAGGTAGTATATATTACCCCATGATGGCCTGGTTTCCTTGAAAGGAGGCATATACATAACAGTAGTAAAATTGACTAATTATAAGCAAAGTGGATGGATTTAACCACTTAAATGGCCTCCAAAGGTGTCCTTGGGAAGCACTCCAACGTGTTTCCTTTTCACTGTCAAAAATTGAAGGCTATAATTCACGCTTTTGGACCAATTTTGGAGGTTTTGGGACCCGACGTTGAAAATTTTCGAGAAGGTAGGGGATACTTATTGAGGTCATATAATGTCGTAAACACTTAAAGTGATATTTTTAAGACAAAAAGGATGTTCTGACCACCCAAATGGCCTTCTAGGGTGTTGTGGAGTTCAGAGGAAACACCCTAACTTGTTTCTATCCAGGTTCGGAAGAGTGCAAAAAAAATCCAAAAGTGAAGGCTATAATTCACGTTTTTGGACCAATTTCACGGGTTTTCGGGAAACACCCTAAATTGTAATTCAAATTTAACTAAGCTCTAAAAAACATAATTACAAAAGACAATTTGAATCAACCTTGCCCTTAGTTTGTAATTGACTGGACTCTCAATCACTCCTTAGTCCTTACACATTTGTAACATTTTCCTTAGAATTATACAAGTATATCATATCTCAAGGAAATTAAATTGTTGTTCGTAATCATATATGGCAATTAATCACATATATATTACCCCATGAAGGCCTTGATTCCTTTTAAGGAGGCATATACATATTAGTAGTTAAATTGACCGTTAATAAGCAAAGTGGATGGATTTAACCACCTAAATGGCCTCCAGAGTTGTCATAGGGACCTTGCGAAGCACTCCAACTAGTTTCCCTTTCAGGTCCAAAAAAGTCAAAATCTGTCAAAAATTAAAGGCTATAATCCACGCTTTTGGACCAATTTTGGAGGTTTTGGAACTCGATGTTGAAAATTGTAGAGAAGGTAGGGGATACATATTGAGGTCATATAATGTCTCGTAAAAACATAAATGACCACTAATCAGCCACACAAAGGCCCTTATGGTGACCTTGAGTTAATTAAAAGAAATTTGTACGTAAACACTTAAAGTGATATTTTATGGCAAAAAGGATATTCTAACTACCCAAATGGCCTTCTATGGTGTTGTGGAGTTCATAGGAAACACCCTAACTTGTTTCTATCAAGGTTCGGAAAAGTGCAAGAAAAATCCAAAAGTCAAAGCTATAACTCACGTTTTTTTTTTTACCAATTTCACTGGTTTTTTAGGAAACACCCTAACCTGTCATACAAATTTAACTAACTTTTAAGAATCAGATCTGCACATGACAATTTGAATCAACCTTGCCCTTAGTTTGTAATTGACCGGACGATCAATCACTCCTTAGTCCTGACACATTTGTAACATTTTCCTTAGAACTATACAAGTATATCATACCACAAGGAAATTTAATTGTTGTTTGTAATCAAATATGGCCATTAATAACATATATATATATTACCCCGTGATGGCCTTGTTTCCTTCAAAGGAGGCATATACATTATAGTAGTTGAATTGACCGTTTATAAGCAAAGTAGATGGATTTAACCACCTAAATGGCCTCCAGAGGTGTAATAGGGACCTTGGGAAGCACTCCAACTAGTTTCCCTTTCAGGTCCGAAAAAGTCAAAAATTGTCAAAAATTAAAGGCTATAATCCACGCTTTTGGACCAATTTTGGAGGTTTTGGGACCCGATGTTGAAAATTTTCGAGAAGGTAGGGATACATATTGAGGTCATTTAATGTCTTTTCGGAATTATAAATGACCACTAATCAGTCACACAAAGACCCTTATGGAGACCTTGATTTAATTAAAGAATATGTGTACGTAAACACTTAAAGTGATATTTTTAAGGCAAAAAGGATGTTCTAACCACCCAATTGGCCTTCTAGGGTGTTATGGAGTTCGTAGGAAACACCCTAGCTTGTTTCTATCCAGGTTCTGAAAAGTGAAAAAAAATCCAAAAGTGAAGGCTATAACTCACATTTTTTTTTAACCAATTTCACGGGTTTTCTAGGAAACACCCTAACTTGTCATTCAAATTTAACTAAGTTTTAAGAATAAGATTTGCAGATGACAATTTGAATCAACCTTGCCCTTAGTTTGTAATTGACCAGATGATCAATCGCTCCTTAGTCCTTACACATTTGTAACATTTTCCTTAGAATTATACAAGTATATCATACCACAAGGAAATTTAATTGTTGTTTGTAATCAAATATGGCCATTAATCACATATATATATTACCCCGTGATGGCCTTGTTTCCTTCAAAGGAGGCATATACATTACAGTAGTTCAATTGACTGTTTATAAGCAAAGTGGATGGATTTAACCACCTAAATGGCCTTCAGAGTTGTCATAGGGTCCTTGAAAAGCACTCAACCTTGTTTCCCTTTCACGTCCGAAAAAGTAAAAAATTGTAAAAAATGAAAGGCTATATAATCCACGCTTTTAGACCAAATTTAGAGGATTTTGGACCCGATTTTGAAAATTGTCGAGAAGGTAGGGGATACATATTGAGGTCATATAATGTCTTTCGGAATTATAAATGACCACTAATCAGTCACACAAAGGCCCTTATAGTGCCCTTGGGTTAATTAAAGAAGATTTATACGTAAACACTTAAAGTGATATTTTTAAGGCAAAAAGGATGTTCTAACCACCCAAATGGCCTTCTAGGGTGTTGTGGAGTTCGTAGGAAACACCCTAGCTTGTTTCTATCCAGGTTTGGAAAAGTGAAAAAAAATCCAAAAGTGAAGACTATAACTTACTTTTTTTTTTTTCCTGACCAATTTCCAGGTTTTTCAGGAAACACTCTAACTTGTAATTCAAATTTAACTAAGTTTTAAGAATAAGATCTCCAGATGACAATTTGAATCAACCTAACCCTTAGTTCGTAATTGACCGGACGATCAATCACTCCTTAGTCCTTACACATTTGTAACATTTTCCTTAGAAT